GGCGGCAACATTTGCGGTTAAGATTCTACCCCCAGAAATGGTTGCTATGCGTTGCCAAGCTGCTTACGTCATGCAGGATCGCCCTATGAATACAAAAATCATACTACCTTGGCCTTACCTAACCAACTTTCCTGTTAGCATGTTCGTTATTTTTTCATTTGTATTCTCATATTACCTATATTTAAAATGTTGAAATTTTGAGATAATAAAACATGATATACATATTTATTTTTCTTTACTGAGTACTCGTTACAAGTCAATTTTACAATCAATGGTTTAATGGACATTTATATATTCTCAAAACATTTGCTGCAGAATTCATGAATTCCAATTAAATCTAAGACCTGAATCCAATAGTTTTAATAGACAAAATTATGTTATATTTTCTCATCTTAAAGTCATAATGAAAACTACACTTCTCCAAGCACAATTAGAATATATCTTAAAGCTATTTCCTTTCCGTTAATTTCAAATGATTATTTTTGTTTATGTTTTTTGGGGGCCATTGCTATATTAGTTCCTATATAACAATACGGATAATATATATACTAATAGGGAATAATAGTAGTGGTGGTGATGACTATATTGATGATGATGACAATATTAATGACAAATAAACTCATTCAATAACCATATGAATGACAAAAAATAGATAAATGAAAGTAATGTTGAAAATAGTAATAAAAAGTGTTGATATTGATTATGACGATGGCGACAATACTAATAATGGTGATAACGACTTTAATGTAGATATTTTTGGCAATTATAATTTCACCAATGCCAGAAATATGCCCTAAAAATGCTAATAAGGACAAGGATAATTAGAACGATAATGACCTCAGTGATTAAAAGCATCAGTTTTACTTTAGAATTGACAGTAATGGAATTGGTGAAGGTGGGGCCTGCGTGCACATGTTGAAGAGATAAACATATTCAGGAATTGGGTGTATTTGAATATCACATATCGTGTAAGCACTACCAACATCATGATAGCATTGTTATTGTCATCATCATTCTTGTCATCATCTCTATTGTCATACTATTTTATTGACCTTATTCTTTTTGTTCCATTTGCCTTCGTCTTCTCCCAAATAAGGCTTTATGAAAACCACACCTTAAATATTTCGAACCTATTTCAATCTTATTTCAATAGAAATCAAACAGCTGTGATAACCATGAAAAACCACCTCATATTTCGAATCTATTTCAATCTTATTCCAAGGTATCAAACACTGTGAGAACAAAGGATAAAACACGATTATATTTTTACTCCAACATGAGAGAAAAAATGGACATTATTTTCAGGCTTTTCAACTTTTAAACAATTGAGCAGATTTTGGTAAATAAAAACAATTATTATTATGGAAACGATACCAATGAAAAATATTACATAACATTCATGATACAAATTTTATTTTCATAAGCCAAAAATTATTATTGTACAAGAATTATCGACTTTAATTTCCACTATTAATTTTCAGAATAGATTGTACTACTCTGATTACAACAGATATTCTTTTCAAAAAAAATTCAATCCTTCAAGAAATTTAATTTTTACTTAGGGTCATTTTAATAAACATTTTTCCTGATGACTTCTCGTTAAGTATTGGAAATGTTAGTTTATATAAAATGTGAATCTTCAATAAGTTATACATGTAAAAGGGAATGCAGTCACACTATAAATAGGCTGAAACCCATACACTGCTTCACCAAAACACTGCATCTTCACCATTTTAGCCCACCTGATTTACAATCACTAGAAACATATTGCTTCATTAGTATTTCACCACTATTATGCATTTCTTCGTTATCCTTATCATTCTTAGAATCATTAGTTTATCACAATCATTAATACTGAAACACCAAACTAAAAATTTCATTGTGTTCTTTCTCTTAGGGAATAAGGTAAGGTATTTTTTTTCATGTATATAATTCATTCATAAGAGACAGTCTACACTTGGTGTGTATTATTCTATGAAAGAAAGAGGAGGCTAATTCTATCAATGCTAATCCCCATCTCTCCTTTACTCTCTCCATTCTTCTTCTATCTGCCTTTCTATATGTCTTTTCATCTGTTTGGCTCTGTATCTGTGTCTTCTTCTCTCTCCTCTTCTTTCTCTGTCTGCCTGTCTCTTTGTCTGTCTCTGTCTTCTTCCCAAAGAAGGAATAAGTAATCAGTAGAATAGTAATTTAAAAACATAACATACATTCTGAACTCAATGTTACAGTTGTGTAAATTCATTATATTGAAATATACAGTAATTTGAGTCGTTGGAAATTTTATATATCATGTTAATGATTCTTTACATGAATGCTATGAACGCTGTTTTTGGATTATAGATATGACTGGTATAAATTTATGGAACTAAAGAAGAATAGGAAGTAAAAAAAAAAAAAAAAGTGTAATCCAAGACAACATTTTATCTTTTTTTTAAGAGGGACCTAAAGGAAAATATATCACAAAAAATCAAAGAGCAAAAATGTGCTTGATTCTGCCTTAGGAAACATGAAAATATCTAAAAGAAAAAGATTTGCCACAAAATTTGCCTATTTTGAGACTATATAAATTGATCATGTCTGCTCATGATAATAATGTTCAAAACAGTTATAATAACAATATCAAAATTAAACATTAATGATAGTACTAATAAAGTCTCGTTGTAACTATCTATCGTCTATCTACCTTTCTATCTATCTACCTCTCTATATATATTTCTCTCTCTCTCTATCTCTATCTATCTCTCTCTCTCTCTCTCTTTCTATCTATTTCTATCTCTCTCTCTCTCTCTCTCTTTATCTATCTATCTATCTCTATCTCTTTCTATCTCTATCTCTATCTCTATCTCTATCTCTATATATCCTCATCTATCTATCTATCTATCTCTATCTATCTATCTATCTATCTATCTATCTATCTATCTATCTATCTATCTATCTATCTATCTATCTATCTATCTATCTATCTATCTCTATCTATCTATCTATCTATCTATCTCTCTCTCTCTCTCTCTCTCTCTCTCTCTCTCTCTCTCCCCTCTCTCTCCTCTCTCTCTCTCTCTCTCTCTCTCTCTCTCTCTCTATCTATCTATCTTTGATATGGAGGACTTATTGTGTGGTGTACTTATTTATTTTGATTAATGATAATCGATTGCCGACGGGAACACAGTGGCAAGATTTTTTTTACTTTTTGATTTTCATTTAACTCGTTTTCTTATACCAGTATTTATTAACAAGTTTCTTATCAATACCACAGTTACAGTAGTAGTTATGATAACAAAACGTTGTTGATTATTATATTATTATTATTATTATTATTATTATTATTATTATTATTATTATTATTATTATTATTATAGTTGTTTTAATTTTACAATTAACATTATGATTATTTTCTTATTATCATTACTATCATGATTATCATTATTACCATTTTTATTGTTATTGTCAGTAATATCATTATTGTTATCATTATCATTCTCATAATCATTGTTGTTGTTTTTTATCATTATTTTCATCATTATTACTATTATCATCATTATCATTATAGGTTTTATTATCATAATTTTTATTCTCTTTTTTGTAATTGATCTTATAATTACTATCCTCTTCCTCATTATCATTAGCAACAGCAGCATGATAATTATTATGATCAATATCATTTTCATTATAATTGTTATTGTTATTTATGTTATTGTTATCCTTATCATCTTTATTATTATTGTTATTATTGCCAGCATTATGATAATTATCATTATTATTACTATCCTTATTGTTATTGATATTATCATTATTTCATCATTTATTCATTAGCGTTCTTATAACAGTTTTCAGCCTTTGTAGTGTAGTGGTTAGCACGACTGACTTTGAATCAGGAAAACTCGGGTTCGATTCCCGACGGGGTATAGCTTCTGTAGTTTTTTTTTTCATGAAATTTGTTTTCTCCTGTCAATATATATTAACGTTTCTTAGCAATACCATAATTAGAATATTATCAAAAATGTTAATATTTCCTTTCTTACATACTGTTAATTTCATCTTCATCGTCAGCACCATTGTTATCATTAATGGGATCATTATCATTATCATGATTATTATGATTATCATTGTTATATTCTTATAATCTTCATGATTATAAAAACTAGTTTATCGTTATTATTACTATTAAACTTATCGTATCATTATCATGGTAATCAATTTTATGTTATCAATATCATAATCAATACTGCTAGTAATACAATTCCTAACATAAAAATGACTTATTTTCTTACATATTTATCTTTGCTGTTGTGATCATCATCATAATTATTGACTATAACCATAAATTATTGAGTTAACCTTATTTTCCTCCAGGATGACCTTGGTTTTCTCCGGGAATAAATTACTCAAAAATGGACTTGTGCGACACAGAACTTTTTCATTTTGTCATATATTTCACTTTTTGGCAAAGTTGGAAACTGTCGTAGTCTATAAATGAGAGATTCAAAGACAGAATCAGATTTTTCTAGTCCATATTTTCAACGATAATCAGTCAAAAGCTTTACTAAACTGATGTATTAATCACATATTTTTATTATTGTTATTAATATCATTATTGTTATCATCATCATTCTCATAATCATTGTTTTGCTGTTTTTTATCATAATTTTCATTATTATTACTATTACTATCATTATCTTTATAGTTTTTATTATGATCATCATTATTATAATTATTATCTCCATTATTAATATTACAGTTATTATCCTCTTCCTAATCATCATCATTAGCAGCAGCAGCAGCATGATAAACAAAATCATTATAATTGTTGTTATTTGTTATTATCATCATCTTAATTAGTATTGTTATTGTTATTTCTGTGAACATCATCTTTATTTTTATTGTTATCATTACCAGTATTATCATCATTATCAGTATTATTACTATCATTATTGTTATTGATATTATCATTTTTTATTTATTCATTAGTGTTCATATAACAGCTTTCTCATCCAGAACATCAAGTCTTTGTGGTGTAGTGGTTAGCGCGTCTGACTTTGACTCAGGAGATCACGGGTTCGATTCCCGACAAGGCCGTCTCTCTAATTATTTTTTTCGTGTAAGTCGTTTTCTCATATCAATAGTCATTAATATGTTTCTCTTTATTTCCACAATTAGAATAGTAGTTATGATAACAGAAATGTTGATGTTATTTCAGCTCATCTTCATCGTCATCACAACTATCCTTATTATTGGTATCATTATCATTATCATTATCATCATTATTATTATCAATATCATCATCTTTATCATCCTCATTATTATTTTTTTCTTATCATAATTACTATAATCAATTATTGTTTACCGTTATCATTATTGCTATTTAAGTTATTGTATTATTATGATAATCGATTCCATGTCATTAATATCATTATTGATACTGCTGTTAATACTATTCTTATCATTATCATAATTTATGCTTATTTCCATAATCTTTATCGTTGCAGTTCTGACCATTATCATGATTAATGAATATGCTCGTGTTAACCTTATTTTTCTTTGATCTGGGGAATAAACAATAAGTCTGAAAAATAGACTTGTGTGGCATATATCTTATTTTGTCATGTATTTTACTGTTTATCAAAACTAGAAACCTTTGTACTTTATAAATGAGACATCCTAGGCCAAAAATTTTTTTTTCTCTCTCTCTCTTTCTTTCTTTTGTTATATTTATCGCCGCTTGATGTCGCTTATTTGGGTCTCTCAAATTCCACCAATTCTATTTATATTCTCAAGTTTATAATCTTAAAGATAACTCGAGATACCCAGAGACTAGAAGATATAACTAAGAAATTGCGGTCGATTTAAAATTTTAAAGGACTGAATTCTCCTAAAATTACGTTATTACTGTTTGCTTAAGGAAATCTTCAAATAATCCATCCATGTTTTTTTACGATAAAAATTATATCAACCGTAAATTTATAATATCTATATGCATATGATTGTTTCATAAAGAAGTTTCCAGGTTTTAACACGGCAATGCTATAAGAAATCATCTCTCTCATCTCTCTCTCTCTCTCTCTCTCTCTCTCTCTCTCTCTCTCTCTCTCTCTCTCTCTCTCTCTCTCTCTCATCTCTCTCTCTCTTCTCTCTCTCTCTCTCTCTCTCTCTCTCTCTCTCTCTCTCTCTCTCTCTCTCTCTCTCTCTCTCTCATCTCTCTCTCTCTCTCTCTCTCTCTCTCTCTCTCTCTCTCTCTCTCTCTATCTCTCTCTGTATATATGTGTGTGGGAGGGGGATCTCCATGCATTTGGCATTCAATAGAGAGAGAGATAAAGAGACAGGAGGGAGAGAGAGCGAGACAGACATACACAGAAAGAGCACGCTACTCCTACTGGAAATTGCGAATATACACATGAGGCATATTTTTTATTTATTTATTTATTATTTATTTATTTATTTTATTTATTTTTTAGTATATAAGGATAGCTGAAATATTGCTGGTTACTTACATAACATTCGTTCTCACTCCCGCTGGTGATAGAAAATGAAGATGGTAAGTCGCTATATTTTTTACTGAATTATTTTTTTATTTTCATACTTTAGAACGTTAATCTATAAATTACTGTTTACTTTATTTATTTATTTATTTATTTGCATTCGAATATGATACACGTGTAGGAGTCATTAGGTTTTGGTTTAAAAAAATCAATGATAATTTTGATTCCGGGAACGAAAATAATGATGGTATCAATATCCATGACAAAGTAAATATGAATAATTGTTGTGATGATAATGAAATGATACGACATTAGTGATGATGGCAGTAATGATTACGATGATGTTAATACTACCTATTGATAGCAATGCTTATTAAAATATCGTAATCTACGTATACATATTGTTATGTACGCTCTGTTGGTCTTCTTTTTTTTTTACCTTTTTTATAAGCCAAAAAATATAATTGCACAATAGATATGTGATCGGTTTGTTATAAACAGAAATAGATGCGTGTCTATCTGATAGATATAAATATACCTATATATCTGTTCAGTAGATACCCATTTTTAGACTGGTACAGATGCCCTTAATTCTGTATATTTGCATGTCCAGATATTGAATTTTAATTGGCTCGGACCTCGCATAATTTTAACATAACAGTCAGTAGACTAATTTCTATCATTACCCTTCAGCAAATGCTTTACTATATTAATTTCTAAAGAATTTTTCTAAAATTTCTTTTAGTTCTTTTCACGATAAACAATTTTGCATGGTCCAATTAATAAACATTTCTCCTGATGACTTCTCGTCGATCATTGTAAATTACAGTGTTCAGAAAATTTTCATCTTCAATGTTATCATAAAAAAAGGTAGTACAGTAACATAATGACAATAAGAATTTATAATAATAAATAATAATAACTTCTCGTCAATCATTGTAAATTACAGTGTTCAGAAAATTTCCATCTTCAATGTTATCATAAAAAAAAGGTAGTACAGTAACATAATGACGATAAGAATAGCATAGGAATGTTCATCATGATCACAATAATGATAATAACAACAATAATAATGATACTTATAGTATTAATTATGGAAAGTTAAGATATAGATAATAAATTAATAATGATATTGAGAGGATGACATAATGATAAAAGTAATAGTAATGATAGTAATGAATATGATGATAACGACAATGGAAGTAATAATAATTATTGTTATAACGACAATAATAATTTGTATTTTTGTGGAGAATTTTATTTCATTTTTAGTTGTTTTCATTTCCTTTTGGGATTTAAATACTTAAATGACTAAATTCTTCTACGTTTATGTTCCTACAACTATTTGCACGAGAATATCTTTCAAAAATCCATATTTTTTCGGATAAAAAAAGATGAATTTTATATTTAAAAAGTTGATCATAGATCCTCTCATTTATCATATCAATTTTCACGGTTGTATATTTTTCAACAGTTTAGTTTACTCAGCCAGCCAATTTCACAATGAAATAAATGAAAAAGCATCACCTATAATGGTGTTACATAAAGACGTTTCCCGGTTTTAATACGGAAATGGAATTCAAATAAAAAAATATATATTTTCAAAGGAAATCATTGCTTTTCTCTCTCTCTCTCTCTCGCTCTCTCTCTCTCTCTCTCTCTCTCTCTCTCTCATCTCTCTCTATATATATATATATATATATAATATATATATATATATGTGTGTGTGTGTGTGTGGTGTGTGTGTGTGTGTGTGTGTGTGTGTGTGTGTGTGTGTGTGTGTGAGTGCGTGTGTGTGTGTGTGTGTGTGTGTGTGTGTGTGTGTGTGTGTGTGTGTGTGTGTGTGTACATAAATACATACATATATATATATATATATATGATAATAATATATATATATATATATATATATGATTTATATATACATATTTACCACTCTCTCTCTCTCTCTCTCTCTCGCTATCTATTAATAGATCTATCTATTACTGTATCTATCGCTCTCTATCTATCATCATTCCCTATCAATTTATATGTATCACTGTCTACCCATCACTCTCTATGTCTAACAATCTATCTATCACACTTTATGTATCACTCTCTCTCTCTCTTCATCTTCCTATCTCTCTCTCTCTTCATCTTTCTATCTCTCTCCAAGTATTAGGCATTCTCTGTGAGAGATAAGGAGGGAGGGGGGAGAGAGAATGAGGCAGACAGACAGAGAACACGAATATACACACGAGACAAAACCTTTTGTCAAGTTTTTCAGTAACAAAAATGATAATTAATCCCTAATATGACATTTTGTATTGGCTTTATCTTATTATCGTCATCATCATCATCATCATCATCATCATCATCATCATCATCATCATCATCATCATCATCATCATCATCATCATCATTATTGTTACTAGTCTCATGATCCACGTATACATACTGGTATGCCTCCCGTTCTATTAGATTTTATAATTTGTTCAAATTTCTCTTTTATAAACCGAAGATTACAAGTGAATATCAGATATGTCGCTTTTGAATTTCATCAATACCTTTCATCACATACTTTACCATATTGATTACTAGATGATATTGCATTTTCTCATTTTCAAAAATCTAATCATAAAATTCCAAATTAAAAGTTTGTGCTTAATGCAAATAATAAGCATTTTTCCTGATGATTTCCCGTTAAACACTATAAGTTTTTGTGTGCAGAAAATTACAATCTTCAAGATGTTGGACATGAAAAGGAATACAGTACCGCCACAATTCTAATAAAATCCATACGCTGCATCTCATTCATGATTTTAGGCAACCTAATTTACAGTCAGGATAAACGCATTGCATCATTATCAATCTACAATTGTGTTTTTCACTCTTATCATTCTCATTCTTATAATCATTATCTAGGTATGGATTTTTAGGTCTCTATCAGTAAGTTTAGAGTTGGTGTGTATTGCTCACACCCTCACTGACTGACTCACTCACTCATTCTCTCTCTCTCTCTCTGTCTGTCTGTCTCTCTCTGGTCTCTCTCTCTCTCTCTACTCTCTCTCTCTCTCTCTCTCTCTCTCTCTCTCTCTCTCTCTCTTCTCTGATCTCTCTCTCTCTCTCTCTCTCTCCTCTCTCTCTCTGCTCGCTCTCTCTCCTCTTCACTCCTCTCTCCTCTCTCTCTCTCTCTCTCTCTCTCTCTCTCTCTCTCTCTCTCTCTCTCTCTCTCTCTCTCTCTCTCTCTCTCTCTCTCTCTCTCTCTCTCTCTCTCTCTCTCTCTCTCTCTCTCTCTCTCTCTCTCTCTCTCTCTTCTCTCTCTTCTCTCTCTTTGTTTGTTAGGAACTTCAAACATCAAACATCTCAAACATTATTTCTACTACAAAATTAATTAAACAGGATCAATAGTTATAGTATTTGCTAATAAAATAGATACTACTATACAGTTCTAATTCAGGATAAGATTATCTTTCTACAGCATGATATATGGTGTGTGTGTGTGTGTGTGTGTGTGTGTGTGTGTGTGTGTGTGTGTGTGTGTGTGTGTGTGTGTGTGTGTGTATGCATATATATATGCATACATATATACATATACTCACACAAACATGTTTGTGCGCA